AACAATTCCAAATGATTTTGGACGCTTTTTTATGTATCAAAAAGACAAAACAGAATATCTGTTCACAGATGTTCCAAAGGAAAACAACCACAAAGAAAAGATTTGTTATGTTCTTTATGTGATTCATGTAAAATGTATTTTAAAAGTGTAGCATAACATTCATCTTTTGCATAAATACTTTTTTTTTTTTTGTGGAGATTTTTTTTTATATTTTTGAAAAAAAAAGTAGTCTTATTGTATAATAGGGTTAGCTTAAAATCTTGTAGACTTAAAAGTTGTACATGATGTGTTACACATCTTACATATGTAACCATTTCATTTCAGGGCATTCAGCATATATTGTGGTTTTGTCTTAAATTTGTTTGTTCATGTAATCAATAATTTGAGAAATCAACTCAAATTAGGAAAATGTATGAGAGAATAGGCAAGAAAATCAGGTTTAGCAAAAAAAAGTTTTTACTATTTATAAGGGGTTAATCTATATATTGAATCTATAAGTACATTTAGTCTATACATTTAAGGTATTGGTTTATGAAATAAACTTACATATGAACATTTTAAGACAATTGTAAACATTACTTTAACCAGTTTTTAAAAAATGATTATATTCACTGTCTACATGTTATTTCTTGTTAAATAAATGAGAAAACAAACAATTTAATTTGAGTCAGTTACTTAATGTAAATAAGAAGCATTGGAAATTGGGAATATTTCACAAAGTTGATTGAGCATAATTCTCACTAGGACAGTAGGAGTATAATGATTTAAGCATTAAAGAAACCATTTCATATTTCAATATACAAACCATGTTTAGTCATGCAGTATATAGTTTACACTTGCCAAAAAGTAAATGGTATCTCTATTCAGGGTCAATCCAAAGGTAAAAAAGAATGAAAAATATATTTCTCTTTATGTATCAAACATTTAGGTATTATTGCCATAAATTCACTGTATTCATTTTTTAGTCCTCTTTCTATGTATGAATAGCTCTGATTTAGGCAATCAAAATACAAAAAGCAAATGAGTTATGTCAAATGATGAAGGTATACACCAGAAAATTAACATGGACAGAGAATTCTGAGTTTCCCTCAAATATGGCCGCCAAGTGATGTGAAATAAAAACAAAATGTGGATTCATCTATTAGGATTGAGACTTGTACATATTATGAATGATGGGTACTATGACATTAAGAATGACATGAAAGAAATAAGTTTGATTCAATTATATGAACAGTTCTTAATCCATACATTCAAAATGGATAACATATTTTTCTTTATAGGCATAAAGTAACAAACACTCACCCAATGCATCAGAATTTTACTTTTTGAAGAAAAGGAACCTTACTTACTTTGTTGAGTTGACATTCCCTTTTTATGTCTTTAGTAGGTAGACTAATGGTTTCTGACTAGTATAATGAGAACTTTTTATTTAAGAGTCATCAGATTGTTCTGATATTTTGGTTAAGATAACTGCATGACATCAATTAATTTGTTCATACAAAGGAATAAAAGCTTTTCCAGGTTTTCTCTTTACTCAGATTAGATTGTCTTGCTTATACATGTATATCCAACATATAAGATACTAATCAAAGTAAAACAAAGGTAAATAAATGACCTTATTAGGTTTTTAGTCAAAAGGTCAAAGAGATGTGGATGTCTGTTAAATTTAATTGTTTCGTTAATATTCACCAAACTTCATGGATAGGTTAATTAAACAAGCTACATATATTTTGATTTTTAGGTTAAAGATCAACACACAATTTTGCTATACCATTGTTGTCCATGAATATCTTAACACCTCAATATTGACTTTTCAGGTTAAAGGTTAATGTATTTCTGCTACAGTAAAAACTTCATGATAAGGATATCAGAGTGATATTTTTTATTTGTAAGGAATAAGGTATAAAATCTCCTACTATAATATGTCACTGAATGTGCTCCTATATTTTTTAAAAGAGTTTTACAAGCAAAATCATATACTGACTTTCATTCCTTCAAAAATACAAGATGTTTATTAAATCTTGAGATTCAGACTTTTTCAGACTTTTAGGCTTTCAGACTCTCAGGCTTTCAATCTTTAAAAGCTTTCAATCTTAAGGACTGAGCATTTTAATATTCATTTTGTTGATTTTGTCTGTCTTGTCTTTTATGTCATTATGATTAATCCATAGTAATTTAAATTTTTATGTTTGTAAAACCAGAATTTGAAAGTACAGTGTTTGTGTAATCTTCTTAATGTTTATCTAATATTACTGCTTTTAATACAGTCAAATATAATTTGTGATGATCAAAATTTCCAAATTGCCTGACCTATACATATTTAGAGTTTCAATATCATACACTCTTGAATATCCATAAATATCAAAATATAATGATTCAGCATTAGCTATCAACCATACACTTGTTAACCTAAGGAAGGCTCTTATCATAAGTTAAACTCATGAAACTCCTCATGCAATTTTGAAGAATCTCTGTTATAAGGGATGCTAAAGACAAAAGACCCATACATTTCCGAGTAGTCATAATGTTTTAAAACTATATATATCCACATTTTAAATGAAGGAACATTGGAAAAAAACCCTTTTTTTTTCCTTTATAACTCATGACATTTCATGTAGATAATGGCTATGATGTGTAAAATAATCTTTTTATGAAAAGAGGATGGTGTAAAGTTACTCTTACCCAACACCCAAGGGGAGTAGGGAAGGGGGTTGAATCCCTTTCTTTTTGTCCAAGGAAAACCTGTATTTTAAAGTTTAAAAAATGATAAAATTGAATTAAATTAATAAAATTAATTAATTTTCTAAAAGTTTCTTTTTTAAATCTGAACATTTAAATTTTTTTTCCTTTTGATTACCAGACTGTCTAATAGGTGAACTGTATAAAACTGAATACAGATCATTTTAAAGTCTTGCATTTTTTATGGCAAATCATTAAATAATGGGATAATATATATATATATAAACAGGGAGTAAAACTGAAAAGCCATGCAGGTTTGCATTCTTAATCTTATTTTTTGTTTACTATATGTGTGACTTGTACCACATGTGATTGTTGTCCAATTGAATAAAAAAATAGAAAAAATAATAGGCTATCCTCTCCTTAAGTTTTCTGTAACCATTAGCACAATCTCAATAAAAACAGCACCTTTTAGAAAAAAATTATGGCTTTTTTTTCCTGTTTTATGTTAGACAGACTTATTTTCTTTGAAACTGTGTTCATGTGAAATTGAATCCTTTTGACCTTATATACCTTAAAATTGAAGAAGTAAAAAAAAAATTATACCTGTTTTAAATGGATGACCATGTTCAGTGAGATACTTTAGTGAGATACTTTAGCAACAAAAATACAGGACCTGTGACCCTTCTATTTATAACAACACTTTTTAAAAAAAAATTCAAAAATTTATTCAATGATTTACACTTCTATTTCTTCTTCTTTGTCTTCGTCTGATGATCGGTCCTCAATCAGTCGCGTCAACACCCCAGGTCCTTTGTTTTCCATCGAGTCTTTAATCTGGGAAAAAGGGATGCGACAATACACGTACTCTGTAGGACAATAATGAGGTGGAAACGTCAGTCCTTTTTTCTCCATCTTGATATAATATTTCAGACAATCTCCAATGTCCGAGAACCATGAACTTTCATTCCGAATGGTGTTGATGGGTGTCAGAAGATTCCTTTGAGTACAAGTAACCCATTTGTATTGCTGATAATGTTGGTTGATTTTCACCCTCACTTTAGATCCTGTTAGAGGTGGGATTTTCATTCTTTTTTCCAACCACACATTGTCCAGGGAATAGCCTGGATGATTTTCATAGAAATCCATGATGGCTCCTATTTTAGTTTCCAGAAATCCATGATGGCTCCTATTTTAGTTTTCATCCAGTCTCCTTGCATGTACATACACTGACTAGTGGGACTCTCACAATACCAACGATACTGCATCTTTGGGAAAAACACGTCTGACTTGTTCCGTGTAATTTTTCAGAATGAGAGAGTTTTTTTGTTATATACCTCTTGAATAAAGCTCCGCTTTATATATATACCTTTACTGTAAGAGCCGTGTGCAAAACATATACGATAGACCTACGTTTTTTATGCTGACTACACAGGTAATACTGGCGCCGTGTGCAAAAACCTATACGATAGACCTACGTTTTTTTTTATGTACACAGGTAAATACTTGGCAGCGATTCAAATCCCTGATTGTGACGTCATCCTTACAAAACCTAATGTATAGAGAGAGCGCTTAATTGTGTGTCTATAGGGAAAAACAATACTAGAATTTTTGGGTTTTTTCTTTTATTTTTTATTCATAACAACAACAAGAACATTATAATAATAAACATTCAAAACTTTTCTTCAGTTCTTTTTGTATGGGGAAGGATCTCCTCATGTACAAATAGTGTGTTTCACAACGGTTACCACAGTTCATGATATCGTATCTTTTTAGGGGGCCCACTTTCTTACCATAATCTTTAATACAATCTCCGGGTTTTTCTATCCATTTCCCTTGAAACAAAGTGCTTTCGGGTCCCTCTCTCTGGTGAGGCAAGACGTAATTGATTTTCCATTTGAATTCCCGATACTTGGGATGTCTGGGTCCTGCTAAGAGCAGGATGCTGTCCCCTATGGGATCAGGTAACTTGATTCTCTTATACAGGTAGATTTCATGGAGACCTGTTTGTCCTGGATTCTGATCAAAGAAATCTTGAATACATGCCTCTTTGTTTTTCATCCATTCTCCCTTTAAACTAGTCCCTTCAGGTTCTACTATTTTCCAACGATACTCTGAGCTTAAAAATTCCATGATGTGCTCTGTCCCTCACTCAGATCAGAAATGATCTCTAGGATTTGTAGGTCTCCTTTTTATATAGAGACTGGAGTATCTATTTTTTAACTTGCAGAGGAAAAAACCAATAGAGAATTTTAAATTAGAAATAATTCAATAATCTCATTCTTTTATCACTGAAAAAAAATCTAGGTCTGATTGCTTTAACAATAGAAAACACCAAATTTGAGTTCTGTCCTTTTATTTATAGTTAACACAGAAATATCCGTTTGGACTGTTGAATCTCGCCTCGACAGATGGGGCAAAACTGAAAAGAAGGAGCACACAAAGCACAGCAGCATACGTGTCCACAAGGTAGAAAAACGATTTGTAATTCCTCGTCTAAACAAATGTGACATTTTCCTCGAGCCTGGACGTCTGGTTCTGGGTTCAGTAGAGGTTTGATCTCAGGTAAAGGTTTATATCCCTGCTTCTCTAAGTCCCCGACAAATATACTCATCACCCAGCTTCGTCCTTTATACTGATTGATGTAAGGACAATTGGGGTTCCAATAAGCATGTTCTGCATAAGGATCCTCCTCAAGATCCCAATTCGTTAAAGTCATTCCACAATGAAAACAGGTAGCGTTATCTTTCAGTCCCCTGTAGAAAAACCCAGCTCGAGCTAGGTCTGGTATTTTTCCTAAGAGAGGTTCTGGCCATCCCTGCTCAAAAGTAGCTTCTCTCTTTGAGAGCTGAGCATACTGGGGAAAACGCATGGGTTGGTCTGGCTCGCGACTCCCCATGATTAGAAATGACCTTTGATTTTGAATAAGAATACCTTTTTATAGAGAAGAAGAAACAACACATAAAAACAATTCAATTTTTTATTTGTAACAAACAAACAAACAAACATATCAATAACCATAAGGTAAAGTGTTATAATTCTCTACAATTTGTCTCTTGTCATATACAATTCTAACTGTTTTCTCTGAAGGTTTGTTCACCACCTCACAATCACGGGTCCTCTGGATTTTGCTGGGATAGGGGACTTTTACTTCCTCTATTTCTCCCTTGAGCATTTTTTCTAAAGTCTCTGGGCACACCAACTGAGAGGTTCGATGGTTGAGAGTGACCCCTTTGCATTTATGAACCTCGGTTCCTTTGTCCGTCCGGAAACCATAATTTTTAGGACCTGCCGACATGAATTTGGTGATGTGATCCCCGTCTAATTCGTCGGTCCATTCTCCTAAACTATTGCCCAAAGTAGGATTAAAAGCTCCTTCCTTATGTTGGTAAATGATACTGTCCGTATCGAAATAAAGGCCCCGTTCTTCTAAAGGTCGTAAAGTCTCGTAGAGATGTAAGCGGGCATAGGCGGTGGTAAAACAAGCCAGGATCACGTTTCCAAAGGGACATTCTTCGACGAATTCCTGTTTGTCTTGAAAATTCACTAGCATCTTGTCTTCAATGGAATCTTCTTTATTGACTAAGAGTCGCACACCCTTGATGTCGACCGTCGAATTTTGTAAGAGTTGATGTAATTCCTCTACTTCGTCCAAGTATCTGACTTTGGGTAATAACAATCGTTGAGCAAATTTTCCCCACAGACAATTTAAAAAGAGTTTAGCAATGGTTCTTAACACTGGATTCTTCTTGATACTGAGAATGTCCATCATGAATCCTTCTTTGTATAACACTTCTCGAATGTAATCTTGTTCTTGTTCTGAGGTCTTACATTCGGGGGGAAATCCGGACGCTTCCTGTTTGATCTTGAGGAAGGTATCGATGTAGTCTTTAAATAAGTCTTGACTGCTTTCTTTGAAATGCCACACTTCGTAAGTTTGCTCTAAGGTATACCCCATGTCCAAGGCTTTATGTAATTCGGTCGTCACCCAAGTACCCGTGAGACTACGTTCCCGGTCGGTGTGTTGACATGGGTGTTGAGACGTAGAGTCTTGTTGTTGGGCACAGGTGCGACATAAGGGAAATAATAACTTACCTCCCGTCCGATAAGGTAATACGGGGTGAAAGAGGCCTCGGGGTGGTAAGACCCGACAGTGAATGAGACCGAAATAACTTCTCACGTCCTGGAAGTCGTCTGTGATGATCTCGGGATGCCCTAGGGGAAAAGGTCTGTGTTTCAACACGTAAGGGTATAAGGAACACACGTCCACGTATCTCATGTCCCCTTCTTCACAATATAATTTAGTGGCATTGGTCCGGCCTCCGTACAGGGCTTCTCGAGGTTTCAAAGGATCCGGAATGTCCAGATCTCGTACAAATTGCTGTAAAGTCTCATCTTGTTGCACTTGTTGATCGAAATCGTGCTCCCAGATACTACACACGTTGTACCCCATGTCCTCTAAATCCGCAGTCCTTCTGAGAGTTTTCTCGTGTAATTGTTGGTAAGTAAATTGGGTCCGGTGAGGATGAGTTTCCGTCTGTAAACTGGGATAGCAAGTGGGGCATCCGTGCCAATAGCATCCGTAAAATTCGTAGACGGTACGAGTCGCTTCCTGGTATCCGTCGACGGTATAATTTCCGATCGGGACTTCGCCTCCGTTTCTGGCATGTCGTATGTGACATCCATTCTGATGACTCATCCAGGTGAGCCATCGACAGGCTTTGGCCGAATATTGTCGTGCCGGTTCATACCCGAGGTTCGGAATGATGGCAATGCTGTCTTTAGGCATGAAATTTCGACGGTAGGCTAAATTAGCAGCACTGGCAAACGTGATGGATTCCTGGAAAGGGTCCACGTTGACCAACTTCTTGAGGGTGCTTCTAAACCGTGCACAGCATTTGTGTAAAATGTCGACGTCCGAGATACAATACCCTACAAACTCTTTCTGGAAATCAAACACTTTTCCCCTCTGTTGGTTGTACCATTCGTAAAAAGCTTTTCGTCCACTGGTAGTCATTTCGTCCGGATTGTAGAAAGCTGCCGGTGGATAAGGTCCCACGTAATTCTGGTTCTGTTCCGTATTAAAAAAGTGAGGGAAATAACCTTTCTTCATTTCGTTCAAATCGAAAGCGGAGGGCATCTGGGCCAAGGAAAGGTTAAGAAACTATACGAGTCGATGAATTTGAGTCCACATATTTCCATGGACAAGATCTTACTCCCGTTCATGATCACGTTAGGTTTCAGGGGAGAAGAATGCACTATGTAATTCAAAATGAATTGTCCGTCGTATCCTTTGAAGTTATGGGCGATGACGATGGCCCCGTCGTGTACTAAAGTGGAATTCTTAGTACCTGTAGTGGGTTGAAATAACCAGTCCATGAACTTCTTTAAGGTGTCTGGGCCTTGAAATAGGTGCTGACGGGGTCCCATGTGTTGACAATGAGGACAAGGTTGGTCTATGGGTAAGTCATCGCAATGTTGACAGACGCGATGTGCCACACACAGATTAGGAACGTGAATGCCCGATTCCTGAGTGCATTCGAAATCGAAATAAATGGTAAACTCTAAGGTGTCTTCTCCCTTCTTCTTCTTCTTCTTGGGTTTCTGTCGAACGTAGCACCGATGATCGGCATCGACGATTTTCTTACAGATCTTACACTGTTTCTGATCTCCGCATTTGTGATGAGGTAATAAATTCTTAGGTATCCAGGACTGACATTTCTCGCATAACCCCATTAAATTGCAGACAGTAGTGGTGGTTTTCTTACCATGGGGTTTTAAATGATCTTCGTAGCAGGTCCTGTTCTTAAACATTCCATGGCATTCCTGGCATTTAATCTTGATCCCTTCATCGGGACAATTAGGGTGATGTCCTAAACAAAAGGTACAGCGATGAGGGCATTTGGAGCGATGGTCTGTGAATTTAGTGTACCCCACGTCGCAATGATCACAGTAATATTGGTTCCCCGTTACTCCCGGCATCGATATGATGGCATCGCAATGACGGTTGTCTAACAAAATGTTCAAACAAGTTCCATCTCCCCAGCCTTTGAAGATGCGCTCTAAACAGAGTTTAGTGGAAGTAGATTTGAACTGAAATATTTTCAGACGATACTGAGGAGCTAATACCTGTTGTAATTTTATCCACTCTGCATTTCCACAAGCTTGAGTGATATCACATCCGGCCTGTTCCATGAGGGCTATGGCTTCTCGTTTCTGGTCTAAGTATTGATCTCCTGACCTCATGCGTTTCCATCGTTTTTCCCATTCCGGGTCTGGATGATCGGGTTTCTGACTGTGTAATCGAGTGACGACGATGGCTCTAGCCAAACAAAATTTATCATGGGGATTGTCGATCCGAACGATGGCTCGTTTATTTTTCTTGAAAGTTTCTTTATCCAGTTGTAGATGTTTGTTTCTGTTTCCACCACTCCCCTGGGGATTCTCGATGTGTAACAGATCGAATTCCGTGGAGCCGTCGCCGATTTTGAACTCCTTTTTGGATTGTTGCACATTTTGTATTTCTTTTAAAATGACGTCTTCGTTTAATTTTTTACATTGCATAAACTGGTAAGAAATGTCTGAATCCAAAGATGGGTGACTTATGTTCAGGCGAAGGTAATCGTTAGGATCACACTGCATTTTAGATTTGAAGTCCTGTAACATGTTTTTGAATAATCGCTGAAGGAAAGCTGTGCTTTCTTCTTCTTCTGGAAATTCATCGAAATGAACGACATATCTATTTTCATGCGCTTTAAATTTTGGAGAGGTCCATTTTTCAGCTAGTCTCATGTGATAATACTCCGAAATGGGTTTAGGTGGTAAATCTATTTCTCTCTCGGTACTTTTTCGTTTCAATATTCGTCGAGCCTGTACCTGTTTTTCTCTAGTAGAATCCATGTCTATCAGGTGATGGCTCTGAGGGTAAAATGAACCCAAAGTCGGAGAAAACCGTATTTATATACAGTGGATGACGTCATAATACACAGGTAAGCATTTTTTTTTTGCACACGGCCCTAAACAAACTTGGCTCGGTGCCAAGTATTTACCTGTGTAGTCAGCATATTTTTTGCACACGGTCCCCTGACTTGAATCGCTGCCAAGTATTTACCTGTATAGTCAGCATATTTTTTGCACACGGCTCTAAACAAACTTGACTCGCTGCCAAGTATTTACCTGTGTAGTCAGCATATTTTTTTGCACACGGCTCTAAACAAACTTGGCTCGCTGCCAAGTATTTACCTGTGTAGTCAGCATATTTTTTTTTTTGCACACGGTCCTCTAAACAAACTTGAATCGTGCCAAGTATTTAAGTCAGCATAAAAAAAACGTAGGTAAAACGTATTTTTTGCACACGACCCTAATCAAACCCATGCCATATATAAACCCAGAGCTGGATAATGAGGATCATTCTGTGTGATTACTTGGAAGTGAACACAGGTAAAAAAAAAAATGCCACTCAAACTGTACTTCGGAAACTATATGACGGAGAAAACGGTGTATTGTTGGTGTATTAACGGAGAACATTTTGGAGAATGGATGAAAACTAAAGAAGAAGCCATCCAGAATTTTTATGAACGCAAAGAAATTAAAATGGCCACCGAATTTAAAGTACAAAAAATTTTGGTTGGTAAAAAGAATGGAATTGGATCCTGAAGATTATGAAAAAAATCATGACACCAGAGAGGAAAAATACTGTCTGAAGGAGAGAAAAAATGGTTATTGGGGTTATCAAAAATACAAATTGGATATCCTGACTGAACCTTATCAGGAGAATAGTTCCTGGAAAATTACACTTGCGGATTGTTTTCATCAATTGGAAGAAAAGAGGTTTAGGGAAGAAAAGAAGCTTCAAGGACTTTTTACAGATAGGTCTATTTATAAAGTGTATGTAAATTGTCGTATCCCTTTATTGCCTGAAGGAGAACAATCTCAAGAAAAAGGAGAGGGAAAAAATTAAGAAGACAGTGTATAATTGTATTTTCATTCTGAATAAA